TATCATCGGAACGCCTCAAAGGATCTCGTTAAAATTTAGCATAGACGTAGAACATAGTCTGAAAGACGGTGTCGCGGGCGACAGCTAGTAAGTCTATATAGTTGAGTGTAAGTATATTCTATGTTTCGTAATTTGTTTATTAACGCCCAAGAAAAACATAAAATGATAACATCGTCGAATTCAAAGGGCGAGTGATCGAGGCCGGCAATGTTTGTTTATCGTAGGGCCTTGATTACTCGACGTTCTAATTGAGACCAGGGTTTTCCGAGAACGCCAAGATAACTGTCAATTATTTCATTCCTAATACTAGTTAGGGCATACGACTTGGCACATGCTTTTTAAAAACACACTCATTAGACGAAACGCAGAATTGCTTCCACTTCACGCCTGTCTTATGTGTGGTCGTGGTATTTCACCGGACGAGCCGGGCCAATTCGTGCGAAAATGTTAAAGCGGGCTCTACCACTGTTTGTCCTGATCCAGTTGACAACACGAAGAACAAACTAGCGTTTTTTTTTCATATATATAAATTAATAAATTCAGCTGACACAAATAATTATCACCTAATTTTTATTACTTATTTAAGTTTTATTATAGTTAGTAAAAATATAATTTTTATTTTTATTTTATTTATTTAATAAAAAATGATCTGATATATTTTTGCAGTCGCTCCTTTCACGCGCTGTAGATAACAATAAACCGGATAAAGGCGCAAATAATAGTTGCCATTTGCTTATTTACTCTGTTCATATTGTCTGTTATTAGTGTGTAATGCAAATAGCATTTTCCATACAAAGACTCATTTGTCCTACAAGATAATCATATATTTGTGACGTCACAATTACATAATACAACATACAAATAAATTCAAAGCACCGTATGCATTAATCTAATCGTTAAAGTTACGGACTGCATTGGTTGAAGTTCGAATCCGCTATTCGACTAATTTACTTGCAATTTCATAGAAGTTCTTAATAAAGAAAGGTTTTACTGTCGTTGTACAAAACAAAAAGCAACAGAGATAACAGAGGTTTTGTTATATCAGTAACCAATAACAAAGTAACAAGGCAGTTGTACAACAAATAGCATGGTATACTACTAGTAGCGCCATCTGTTACAAAATTATGAATACTGTCCCTATTTAAAAATTAAAAAGTTGGTTATATTTTCTTTATTGACTTACATAGGTCTTTTTTTAATATAATTAACTGTTTTACAAGCCGTAATATAAAAAATATAATCGTTTAAAATAACTCAAGGTACACACGACAAGGAAAATAAGAAAGTATGTCAAAGACAACAGCTCTTTAGCAATAAACGGACAGAAACCACAGAAATTTAGAGAATGAAATATAGCAAGATCCTGACACATCCCTGTATCCAGAAATGGATACTTTTGATTGAAATTGTTACTATGAACATCCTCTTCCATCCAGCGCCCTTATCCCGACGAAATAAGTTTGTCACACTACAATAGCGATCCAACTTCGCACGGATAGCGACTTATAGCGCCATCTATTGGAAACTCATGTAACTTATGTAAATATTATTTAAATATTTCAATTTGCATTTAAATAAACTTTGATTATCAACGAAACTAAGCTTACAAAAGTGAAAAATAAAGGCCTATTAGTTATTAAGAACCTTTTTTTCTGAAGGGTCTCTAAAATGTAACAAGATGAATAATTACAGTCAGATAGAGGCATTAATTTTTATTTATTTAAGCCAATGCATTCTAATATATGAGTAAACATGATAACAATATAATAGACGTTTAATGTCGCAATTAAGAGATCAATTACATGAAATGAACCAAACGTATACAAAGCTATGCAAATAAAGATAAATTCAATTTTGTTATTATTTATCTGGTATTGTATTATGAATAGTTACATGTCGGTCATGGTCAGAAAATTATTATTATATTTTCCTCTAAAAAGTCATGAATCATTTCTTGGAAATTGCAAGAGAAAGATAATAGCGTGACGTCATCAATTTAACAAGATTTTACATATTGTTTATCTGTATTCTGTATAACAGTGAATATGTTTTTTTTTAAAGTGCTGTTACAGAAGGCCACGGCTAGAGACATAAATAAATTATGAGTGTCATTAATGTACTGTCGTTTCTGTAATCAAATGAAATTGTCAGTAATTACGACAATTTGTGCAATTTTCCTGCAACATTTTAATCTATGCATGTAACATGGTCATAGAGCAAGGAAATGGATAGATTATATGAACAATACGCGTAAGAACGGAATAGAGAACAGCTGATAGAAAATATTTTGAAATATTTTTTTTAGTATATGATTGGACGAATTTAAATAATAGCAATTGAAACAAGAAATCAAATGAATAAAAAATTATCAAATAAAGGTGTAGGTAGATTTACGTAACAGTGTTCAGTCAGGAAAATGAAAGCATCAAATATGTATGGCCGCCTCTTAGCCTGTCTGCTGTCTATCTTATATACAATTCAGATCCGGCAAAGAGCTGCAGAATGGAGCGATACTGAATATATTTACTTATTCATGTACGTTAGAACATTGATTTAACTCTAATGGCTTTTTAATCAATCGTTTTAGCGTTGATTTTATAAGTGTTTTGTTACATTGTTGTGATCGAAAGTTTAATGAAGGTATAAAGAGTTATGTGTCATTCGTAAATCGAGTATAAATGTTTTCATATATCTTGGCGAGTTCATACGGTATAGGGGGATGCGGGGAGGGCACTGCGTAGTGCGCCGATGACCTTGGGCTGCGAGATATTTGAAAATACTAATAAGTACCCAAGCATATTATAATATCAATCGTATCCCAGAGACTTAGACATATGTTACGTGTTTCAATTTTACCTATAATACACCTTCGCATTTGCAACATTTTTACATTTTCACATCACATATCACAAATATATGATAAAACAGAGCTGACATGTTCTTATATATTTTCACAGGATGCGTGGACTTTGCCTCCGGATGCATATATTGAATATTGTAAACGATAGGATGAACGCATCGCATTTGCAAGAGATCGCGAATTATTCATATGCGGCCTGGAATCATAATTAACTTCATTCGTCATAACATCGAATGTTGACGCAGTATGGTGCGTCAAGCGATTTAAAATTATGCAATGTCGCAAATTTATTCCAAGTAGCGTTCGCTCATTGGTCGATATTTAACCATAGTCCATATTTATTTTTAGACTAAATTTGAATTTGAATTGAATTTCTTATTCACAGGAACTTTAACAATGTATTTCATGCCCATCCGTTCGAGTAATTTCCTTAAAAAGTTGTTCAACGTTTCGTTACGTTTTAACGAATTAAAATAACGATACTGTCACTACTAACTAAGCATATTGTGCAATATATAATAAGAATGATGACCCGATCGACTTACCGATCAATCTGTCACAAGAATTTTTCCCATCAGTCCAATTATTCGAAAGGCCTATCGGTCCAAAGGGAAACACCCAAATAAAGCTATTTAAAGATCAAGGACAAAGACTATGGCGCAGGAAGAATTGAATTTTGATAATAGATGGCGTACCCAAATGAGTTCAATATCATATTCATTATTACATCAAATTATTATTAATAATTTTCTAAGTTAAGAAGACAAACATACAAATCATAAATTTATTGCTTATATTAAAAATATAAATATACGGGTTATAAGCGAATTTATTTTGTACTATCTGTGGCATCGCATCCGTCTGCGCCGAATTAAAAATAAACTTAAAAAATAGCCTATGTTTTCTTCCAGACTACCTTCAAACAAACATCCATCCATCTAAATTTATAATATTAGTAAGATAGAGCGAAGGTGGCTCAGGGGTCAAGCACTTGACTTGCAATCTGCAGGTCCTGGGTTCGAATCCCGCCATGTACCAACATGTTTTACGATTTCCGATTTACATATGTACATTTATCCGACGTTCTTACGGTGAAGGAAAACATCGTGACTGCACATATCTGAGAAGAAATTCAAAGAGATGTGTGAAGTCAACCAACCCGCACCTGGCCAACGTGGTTGACTATGGCCTAGTCACCCTTAACTTAGAGTAGGCTCCGAGCCCCTCGGTGGGGACTATATTTTTTTTTCGAATTATTCCTTGGAGTGCTTTTTATTTAACTTACTAATATTATAAATGCGAATGTTTAGATGGATGTGATGTGGATGGATGGGTGGGCTACACTAATTAAGTTTATTTATATATCCACGCGGACGGAGTCGCGGGCGACAGTTAGTCGTAAATACTTAAACATTGTTTTGTGTTTATCGCCTTTACAAAAGAAACAATTGAAAAACGTAGTTAATGTTTGTAGTAAAATATTATCGTTTATTTTTCATGATTCTTTTGTGTATGCAATACACGTACGAATGCTTAAAAACTAATCATTTTTTTATGTTCATACATCAATATTTTATTTGTAGTAAGAAGTTATAAACCTTCAGTTATACTGCATGTTGAATTTTTACTCTGCCTTATCTTACTAATATTATAAATGCGGATGGACGGATGGATATTTGTTAGAAGATATCTCCAGAACAGCTGCACGGATCTCTCTGTAATTTGGCATACATGTTGAACATGGTCTGTAAGAACACATAGGATACTAATTAAGTTTTTCTTTTTAATTCAGTGCAGACGGACTTCAGGTTGACAGCTAGTATGTTTATAAATAGAAGTAAAATACACCAGATTGGAAAGCAAGCCTCAAACAACGAGTACAAAATAAATAGCAAAAAACTGTGAGCTGTAGTTCTTTGACGGACCGCAATTCCCGACGGACGAAACATATAAAAGAGTTCAATCCTCATTCTCGTTCAATATCTGAGATTGGAAAAACCACTTAAATTTACTAGATAAAACTCCACTTTCCTTTCATTTTGAACACAAAAGGGTGGAAATCTTGAAGGCTTGGTGAAGGAAGAAAAAAAAGAAGAGCTCGGTTTTAACTTTAAAGACTACTTTCTTTTGTAAAAAAAGTTTTTATTTTGTTGTAATAGATATTAAATTAGCGTTAAAGGGCTTACAATGCCTTGCGGGTTCAATACAATAATGGGTTCAGGGCACTGTTGGGGTTGCCGCGCTTCTGCAGCGCGTCTGGGATGTTTGCTGATGCTGGTGTTGACGGCTTCGCCGCATGGTTCAGAAAAAGAGCAGCATCTCTGATGCGGCGGGTGGGGAACAGCGCCAACAGCTACCTGCAACTCATTGTTGATAGAGTGGGATTGGACTGTCCACTGCTGGCCATGTGGACACGTCTACATGTACCATGAAGAATTTTATGTTTTATTTTTGTGCTAGCATTTAAATTTGTATTTTTTGTTTTGTATGGACCATGTGTCTGAATAAAAGATTATTATTATTAAATAGTGGACAAGAAAAGAATTATAATATAATATAATATAATGATAATAACTGAGATAGCATTGTTTACAAACATCAGGACAGTACAAGGTACACGTCGAGTTTTTCCTATTTTATAATTGTGTATAATTTGTCACGTATGTGATGACTACGTAGCATACAAAGTACTGATCTAAGCCTATCTTGTATTCATTGGTAATTATAGAAGCGGCACACGCCTCATATATCAGTGGCATACCTTGAGGAAGACAGGAGATTAAGGAGTATTATATTTATTGTCGGTGGCTCAGGGGTTTCAGCATTTGACTTGTAACCTGCTTTCCTGGGTTCGAAACCCGCCATGTACCAATGTGTTTTTTTGATTTTCGATTTACATATGTACATTTATCCGACGTTCTTACGGTGAAGGAAAACATCGTGATGCAACCTGCACATATCTGCGAAGAAATTCAAAGATATGTGTGAAGTCAACCAACCCACACTTGGCCAGCGTAGTTGACTATGGCTTAGTCACCCCTAGCTTAGGGTAGGCTTCAAGCCCCTCGGTGGAGATGTACAGTGAGCTAATGATGATGATATTTATGTGTAGTGTAATAAAGCCGAGTTTGACAATACTAATCCCTTAGCCATTCCTATTCTGTCGACCTGCGTCCTGGGTCTATCGGCAAAGGAAATATTATAGATCATATTTGGAACATTCATTTTGCACTATTATATTCCTTTAATAGTACAGTCAGCTGCGTAAATATGTACACACTAGCTGTCTAAAAATATATGTTGGCCGATTCTCAGACCTACTCAATATGCTCACAAAATTTCATGAGAATCGGTCAAGCCGTTTCGGAGGAGAATGGGAACGAAAATTGTGACACGAGAATTTTATATATAAGATTTATAAAACTTGAGAAACTTTTATAGAAAGTCGGTATAAAAAATACTTATGCAAGTATTCGTCAAGATCAGACTCATACGATCTCACTAATATAAACCAAAAAAAATAATCTATTAAATAATGTTATTGATTTTGCCTCAGTACTTATCAAGATTATATAGAATGATACATAAGCAGTGCGGACCGATTTCCAATCAGGGCAGCTAACTTTTAAGAAATGGTACAGTACTTAAAAATCCAGTCTTTACAGGACGAAGAACAAAAACAACAAATTAGTGACTTATTTACAAAAGCTATGCTTTGATCCTCGATAAGATCCATCGTAAGATAACGATGTCAAAACTTTAGCCCGCAATATGGAAAGCCATAAATTTTTGGTCGAACCCATAGGTGGCAACCCTAACCATCTCTGACTTAAAAAGGATGCACAGAATGAGGTTATCTAGCCCCAGTAACGGATGCCGACGCTCTTCAACACTCACCGATGTCACCGTCAAGGCTACCTGTCCCTCCTCCCCTTCAATTATCCATTTACTAAATAAATCCGATCTCAACAAGCTCCCCGCCGGACATGTTGAACAATTTTGTTTACATCTACACATCAAAACTCATCTTGGCAGGCACCCAGCAACGCAAGACAAGCCTAGAAAAAGAAATAAAATAATTACATACTCTTATAGTCTTCTTTTAAGTAGGCAATGGTCCCCCACTACTCTTGAATTAAAAAATTGATGAAAGTATCTTATGTGTTACTCTAGAGTTTTTCTATACCTGTGCCAAATTTTAATAAGATGTATTGAACTATTGCTGTAAATATGTGAATGAAAATTATCTTCCGGAAACTGAACACATTTTTGGGGTTATAAGTAGCTTATCAGTTCTTCCAGACTGTGCTCTACATCTATACCAATTTCCATCAAAGATTCATGCAACCAACATCATTCCATTCATCTCTACTTGTTATAATTTGCATCTATTAGTCCACTTCTAAACCCATATAATAGAATAAACAATAATATCTAAAAAATCTTTTTAAGCCAACTCCTTTTTTGTAATTCATTTTTAAATTGTTAACCACTTTTTGCAATTTGACTTTACCTCGTTGTTCTATAAGCCAAATCTAGTCATTTGACAAAAAAAAATCACCTTTTACACTGACTGTTATTGTTGGTAGGTTCGGGAAAAAAAGACGCCATTTCGTAATAGCAGGCACCTCGGATTTTTTCTTATAAGCCATTTTCTATGTTTTAATAAGGATCTTACAATAATAACCATCAATCGCATGTTGGCTTCATCACCCTCATGATTCTGATACTAAAACTCGAATTAAAACATTAAACCGTCACATATATATTTTTCTGGAATTTCATAATTATAAGAATGGCAACATTATTTCGGGTAGCTGCCAAATGACACTGTCAAGATGACATTGTTAGTTCATGACATGATATTGTTTTCCGATTGACATAAGACCTGTGTGAAACTCATAGATATCATATAACAATAAATAAATAAATAAAATTAATATATATTTATATTTGTCATGGCTGAGTAGATAGATAGAATATATATTTAAACTAAGACATAAGCTAATAATTTATACTATATCAAATAAACTATATACTAAAACTAAATAACATAAAAAAGGACCCCAAATCGCTGCGCTCGCAGGGTAGGGTTTCCAAGAGGCTGGCGGCATTTCCCCGTTGAATGGCCTATAACAATTAGATAGGAGATTCTCTTTGAAATTATTGCCTTTTCGTACCCACTTGAACAAACCGGTCTTGTATCTGTAACTTTGAAAAAAAAACGTATGTTGTTTAAGTGTTTTATATCCATCCAGTGGTTTTTGTGTTTTTGAAAGACATGACTAGTGTTGTCACTTTGCTTTGAAAGTTTGCGCTGAATCCAACAAAACACCTAAAAGATATCATAAAAAATAAATTATATTACAAATACTTAATAATTTTCGATTAGGTTCTACATGAAAAAAAAGTTAAAAATAAAAATACATTTGGATCTTTGAATAAATAGAATTAACAAAATTGCGGACATCAAATAGACACAAAATACCAAATGTTATAGCCTATCCATTGATGATATCAATGGTCCTCCGTGGCTCTGTGACAGAAGGAAATCAAAGAGCATGTGAATACCTCCCTGACTCAAGTCCGATTGTAACTCTATGGTCTATGGTTGCAGCCATTTTGTTTTGATTTTGTATTTCCACAAATTCACACATCGTCATCGGAATAAAATACCAGCCATATTGATTATTCTACGTAGTGCACCGAAGAAGATCAGACGCTCGTTGTTGAAAAAACGATTTGGATAAAAGAAAAGGACCATGGAGTTCTTAAACGGCCCCAATCCAATGTAAGAATCTATTTCTAATTAATTTGTTGTGTATTTCATCATAACTAAGAAAATTTAAATATCGATTTCCTTTGTGTGAAAAATATTCTATTTTTAAAAAAAAAATCTTCATTTTTTGCTTTAGTGACTACGATTAAGTTATTAATATAATATCTCATTAAAATTATAGGGTGCTGTATCCTTTACCAGAAGGATGGTCGATCGGCTACTGCGTAGCATCTAAGAGATACTACTACATCAATAATTTCACCAACAAAACCCAGTGGAATAGGCCCACTGGTCCAGCACCCCGTAACTACCCCGTCGCAATTAAATGCAGTCGCATCCTCATCAAGCATCGCGACTCAGAGCCGGACTTCTGGCGTGTGAATTATATACCGCGCACAAAGAGAGAAGCTGCTCATGTGATTAGCAAATGCTATGTGCTGATAACTACCAAGCAGTTTACCTTTGAAGAGGTAGCTTTTAAATATTCCGAATGCCCATCTGCGCATCGAGGTGGAGACCTTCAGTGGCTGAACCTCTACACCGTGAGCCCCTATTTCTTGATTGCTTTCAACCTTGACATAGGTGACCTCACTCTACCAGTTGAGACACCGGAAGGTTTTGAAATCTTCCAAAGGACGGGTTAGGCACCTGAAATATAAGTCCTCGTAAATTGTTAATTTAGAGGACTGAAGAATCATTCTATTCATTGAATCTTTCTTTGGTATTGCATCCTGGTACCCACATTTGCTTGTTTAATATTTGATTAATGACATAAATCTTTTCATACTCTAAATGGGGAAAAATATTATTTCCATGATAGTTTAGTAAATGAGTCAAAAATAAGTTTTAAAACAGGATCTAAATGTTAGTAAATAAGATTGATGTGCTCTTATATGAGTTTGATAAATATAACTTGAAGTAGTGGAGATATCACTTAAAATCAGAGAAGTATTTTATGAATTTACCATTTAAAGTCAGACAAGTATTTTATGAAAAGACTTCAAGAAAAGAGCATAGGTGATGGGAATAAATCATGGTTATAGAATATCGAAGATAGAAAGGAATTGTGGATGCCGCTCTACAGTTTGCTGTGCAAGTAAAATATACAAATATGGAGAGCCAAAACTACAAGAAGCTAGTCAATTTCAAATCACTGTTAAAAAATCATCTTGTGACATCCAAGGAATAAAAAATGGTTAAAAGTGTAGTGTTAGATATAGTCATACAAATATTTTCCTTGCTTATTTCCAAATAAATGTGAAGATTCCCTTTGCTATATAGTATTATTAAGGATATTCTGACAAATCTTATTTTGAGGCACACTTTTTCATTTCATTTGTGCCATATTAAATATTACTTATTCAATTATATGGCAAACAAATTCATATATGTTGCTGTTTATTAAATGTGCATTTAAAGACTTTGCTAATGTGATATATGTGTAAGAATTGTTGTATTATAAGATATATATTTTCCAATTTGGACATTGGACATTTTTGTTGATATAGATTCAAAAAAATTTATAAATGTTCCTAGATCTAAGATATTCTATTTATTATTTTCTTTGTTATACAAAAGTCATGATTTTTGTTTGTTTTGAATATTTATATGCTCTTTGTATTTATATTATGTTTATTTCATTAACAGGGTACATGGTACATATTTGGTACTAGTTTAGCTCTATTTCGAAGTACTTGTTAATTTTCTAAGTTAAATATGATAAAATATTCAAAAAAAAAGACCTTGTTGACAAGAAACTTCAAAGAAATAGTTAAGTTGTTTAAGACTGATTCAAAGTATTATTTAATTTCCCTTCTGAAGTTTCAAATTATTGTATAAAAATTATAAATTACTATTTATCTAAATGTATCTATACAAATTATATTACAACTACCTAAAGGTAATAAAAATATTTCTGGTCAGTTTTCTATACTTGTAGATGTAGTAATATGTAGAAATCCACAGTAATGGTTTCAATTAAAATCATATGATTTAAACAATTGGGAGCCGAACATTCTGTACTAGTCATTTGTTAAACTTGATAATTGATGTTAATGGTATGTAACATTGTCTTGTAGTTGTATCTTTGTCTACATTATAACTTATTTAATAATTGAATGTGTCAATAAAGGATTACAATCTAAAGTGTCATTTTAATAATAAAAAAATATATATTATTAGTCCTTCGGCCACTCCTGAACCGTGGAAATAATTCTTTCTGAATCTTCAAACATTTCAATCAGAACCTGGAACATACTTAATACACCTCCAAAACTACAGAACCCAACTATAGTGAAACTGTTTTGTCAAAGAAAATGGAGAGGTTGACAGGTATCCTGTGGTAATAGCCTTGTTTCCTAAGCTCAGCCCCAATGTTCATGATTATTTGATTGTGTATCAATAAAAAGCGTACTAAATATATTAAAGAATTCATTTGAATCCATAAAGATTCAAAAATATCACTTCTAAAAACCTTTCCTTACAATTTAAAGAAAGTATTGAAGCAACAAGTTGGTAAACAATAGATTATTGTTCATTTACGAGATCGACCGTACTGCAACATAAATATTATTTCAAGGCATTACTCTTTTGGTTCTAAAGACACAGTGGGTTTCTTTGTATTTAAAAAAAAAGCAGACGAATTGATAACCTCCTCCTTTTTGAAGTCGGTTAAGAAAAGTAGGTACCTACTAAGAAATTACAGAATTTTAGATAAATATGAAATAAGCTACGCTCATATCGATTGTTTGCATAGTATCTATCTATACTAATATTTTAAAATGAAAGTATTGGTTTTTTTATAAAAAAAATTATGTATTGTATCAGTCCGGCCAGAAAGATTCAAATATATATTATATAACGGATCATATATGTACATCATATTATTTTAATCCAACACGAGTCCGTCCACCAAAGAGTACATAAAATGCGTTTCAAATCCGCCCACCAATAAAATCAATAAATCCAGGTTTGCCTTTGCTTTATTGATCGCGATGATACCATACGGGAATAAAAAGATTTGGTAGAAAATAGTAAACTGAGACTTAATATTTACTTAAGTTTGGTAGTAATATTTGCGATGTTGGGTAGCTACCAGTAAGCTACGGTTAACTTCTTTGATTTTCTTTGGATCCTGAACAGATCTGTTTTCTTTTAATTGCGAATACCTGCAACATTTGTGACCAGATTGGTTTTAAAAGGTTTCTAAAATAGTTTGGTTCTAAAATCTGGCTTGTAAAATGGTTTGGTTTCTAGTAGATTTATGTGTAGCCTTGGTTATTCCCAGTATCGTTTTTATATATTCTTTGGTTATAGTTATAGCCTTGGCAGGAATATAAAACACCTGCCATGAGGGCGCCACTGAACTCGTAGTCTTTGTCCCTACGGAGAGTCGCCACGGTATGTTATACACTACTTGTCCATGTCTCTATTAGTCGCTATATCTGAATTAACCCCCTTCTTACGTATACCTCTCTCACACAATACATACTTTCTTTGGTTTTCCTTTACTTTTGGTCACCGTGAGGTCGCTTCTAACATAATTATTTCACTTAAATAATTACCTCGCATGAGTTATTGCTTAAATATATATTTTTTTAGCACAGCTTTCAACATTTTGAATCTGTATCAAAGAGTAGTAAGTACACTGGTCTGAAATTAGCTCTGTTCCGCCATTCCCTCTTCCGGTATCGCTAGTCTTCTTTTACCAAGTGAGCAAGTAAGCCTCAACGAAAAGCAGGTTTACGAATTGAAGTTATTTCCCGGGTGTTTCCTAGTGAAGGTTTTTTGTGAGAAGTGTTTTAGTTTGTTATTATATGAGTCCATAAAAATGATCAACATAACAATAAAAACGCTAGATGCACAAAATCATCCCTTCGAAGTGGGCGATGAGGTTAGTAATTTGTTATTTATATATAAATATTTCTATATTTTTTTTACTTCTATCTTGTTTAATACCTTAAATAAACGTTACACCAAACAATAAACTCTTAGAAATTATTGCTTGTGGAACGTTTTCTTTGTTACAATGTAGTTGGCACATCTTATTTTTATTGTATAGTTTCGTTTTCTTTCCGTTATAACGGTTTAGTTGCAAAATATGTGTGGTGTTAAGTACATTCCCTCTGTAAAAACTTCGTTAACAAAGAGCATGTAACGTGTTACATATAATTTGCGAACTTCGATATGTATCGGTCTTCTTTTACAAACGACGCATTTGTCCAGTTGAAAGCCTATAACTGCGCCGATCGATGCCGTCCGCGCCCTAGTGCATGCGCCGTAGGACACTTGTTAAATACATAAATTTTAATAATAAGTAATACTTTATTATATGTTATTTAAGGAAGGGTATTTTATAACTTGGCAAATAAAAGAATGACAATTAAATATGTGTACTTTTAAATATCATTGGATCAAAAGCAGTGTAAAAAGCATTGCCTGATGCTTATTAAGTTACAGTGTAAATTATGTTGCCTTATTTATTTTGCGATTATGATATCTAGGAATTAGATTCGTCTTTAATTATTGCCACCTGCGTCTTTGCGTAGGTGTTTCAGAGCTCGGTCTCGATTGTCGGGGGTCGGGGGTTGGGCGTGGTATACTTATTGATCGGGTGTCGAATCCTTTGTTGTCTCGTCCGGCCCGGGCAGAGCTAGTTATCGATAGTATATGTATATACAAATACTGCATTGCGGCGTATTTGTGAGTCTGCGCGACGCATGCGCTCGGGCGTAGTGGCGCCGTATTTGCTCGATTGATTTTTACCCCAGACAACCTGACCTGGCAAAACGCCCGTCATTTCGTGTCGACTCCAGCAGAATATGGGTGTTGGAAAAATGTGAATTGTTTTAGTGTCATCTAATAGGTGTAAAATACCTCTAAAGGGGACAGTGTCTAGCTAGCTAATCTCTATTTCATGTGGTAATGAAATAGGGATTACTAAAAGACTTTGTCAATCTTTGATAGTGTTCGGTGGACACTTGTGTTGAAATAAGTTGGTGTTCAATTAACTAACTCAAAATGAATTTACATATGGTTAAATTTACCATGATAGACGTTCTTGGAAATGGTGAACATTATTACGAGTTGAGTGATGAGGTGAGTAACTTTTCTCCAAAAATGTGTTATTTAACATTATTTCATTGTAAAGTATTGATTTCCACCAAAGTATAAGTTTTGATTTTTTTTTCATTTTGAAAATTTCTTCTAAATTTATACTTAATACATCCTTAGTAAATCCAGGACGGCACTCACACACACTCCGCTGGCGCAGCAACCCAAAGTCTTGTACTCCGACACAAGAGATCACCAAAGTTGCAGGACATTACTAGTATTGTTAAATTAATGGCCAACAGACAAAATGGCTGTTGAAGGATTTTAATCATTGAACAAAATAGTAGGATGTGACTCATTTAAATTTAAGGCCAAAATTAATTAACAGAGATGTGGCGGCCATTTTGTGAAAATTGCATTTTGATATCCTTTCTTTCAATCCAAAGCCAAAATGAATTAAACTGAGTAACAGCAAATTCCAGACATGGTAGCCATTTTGATATTTGGCTTTTTAGTTTTTTTTTTGCGTTAATTGGATTTGACTATCCTTTGTTTCGATCCAAAGCCAAAATTAACTAAACCGAGTAACAGACTGCAAGTTCCTAACATGGCGGCTATTATAACAATCTTTTAGTTTTTTTGTGTAATTCTGATCTGACTTTTTTTTATAAACATAGTAATTTAACTATTGTTATCAGAATCCAAGGCCTACTTCAGGTTGCTGCGTCACCCTAGTAAGCAGAGTGACATCAAATTCCTGATACAGTGGCCTTTATGTTATTTGACTTTTAATTTGTTATGTGAAAATTTCAGATTAATTTTTTTACAGTCATATCGGAAAAAGTACTGTATTTTAAAGAAATATTGTTAAACTTTTGTGAATGTTAAGGGTGAACAAAGTGAAAAACACTGACAGTTTATCTAAGCAGGATATTAATATCCGAAACCAAAGGGTTTGGATGAATATTACTGATAATTTACGAACTTCGATATGTATCGATCCTCCTTTACAAACGGCGCAATTGGCTAGTTGATGGGCGTCAACTGCGCGCGCCGATCGATACCGTCCGCGGCCAAAGAGCATGCGCCGTAGGCCTTTTTTTTAAATACATACATTTCAATAATAGCTATATATACTTTATTACATATTACTTTATGAAGAATATTTTTAACTCAGCAAATATAGGAATGACAAATAAACAGTTTATCTACATTATTAATATCATTGTCTTGGATGAATATTATAGATTAGGCTAAAAAAGGAAAAATACAAAATAAATAGTGAAGTAAATTGAAATTACCTAAAAAGATGACTATTTGTACTTTAATATTCAGGATTCACCATCTATTATTTTCTTTTTACTATTTGAATACTTTGTTGGTTTTGACTGTATGTATAATTAAATCTTTTATCTCAGACCACAGTCGAAGAATTGAAAATTATTATTGAAGAAGAGATGGATATCGAGGTGGCCTCTCAGCGGCTGATCTTCTGCGGGAGGGTGCTTCAAGATGATAAGAAGTTAATTGATTGTGGTATGTATTAAAAAAAATACTCATTTTCTGGCACAGTCTTTTTTTTATGGTCCGACTACCTATGGTACTACTGAAATGTCTGTTTGATTTAGGTGTTCACGGGAACGTGATACACATGGTCCGGAGGCCACCACCTGGTCCGGAGACGAGACAGTTCAGGGATGACGCCGACGCCAATATCGCCGGCCCCGGTTACGTGAGCGCCAGGTTCGAGGACCATGCTGAACGCACCCGGCAAGAGATAAGGAGGCTTATGGTAAGTGTATTTTTAATCATTTGGTCTCGCTTAGTGTATATCTTGTATGAAAAGCCATAAGAGATTACCAACCAAGTGTGGCGGTAAGAAACATTGCATAAACATGCATGTAATATCAAGACATACTTTGATAGCTAAGTCAGACCAGAGGGTCTCTGAGCCTTCTTCATGATAGGGGTGACCAGGGTATTAAACGACCTAACCCCATCTAGATTGGGCTCGTTTGATTTGGCTTGATGAGTGCTTTGGTGCTAGAAGGTCACCAGGGTCTGATGATGGGGCTGGAAGGTGGCAAAAGGAATTCAATAATCAAACGACATAACCTCATTGAGATTGGGCTCGTTTGATTTACCTTGATGAGTGTTTTGGTGCTAGATGGTCACCAGGGTCTGATGGTGGAGCTGGAAGGTGGTCAAAGGAACTCAATCAAA